AGGAGGTCTGAGGGGTCAGGACGGAAAGCCCAGATGGAGTCCCAGTTGTTGGCGATGTAGCTCATGAGAGGAACTCCTCTGACCGGGATGAGAGGGAAGCGAGTGATGGATGCGCTGGCCTTCTGAATGGCTTCGCTGTAGGAGATCTGTTGCTCCCCTGACATGACTGAGTTTACTCACAAGTTACAAGTTTACTCAAGGAAATAAAGAATCAGAAGCCAAAAAAATTATGCTGAAAATCGCTGTAAAATGGCTCAAACTAAGCCAGCACAGTGGTTCTTCCTGAAGTCTTGTCCTCTGCAGCTCCTCTCTCAGCTGGCTTTTGGTCCTTTGTCAAACATTCACAGTTGATTAGCTTTCGTACACCAACTGTGAAAATCTCTTCCTGCTTGATTGTCAGACCCACAATCACTGCGCATACATCCTCGTCATTCTTTCATTATCTCCGCCTTTGCTGGGCGGGAATGTTTTGGCTTTGTCTCCTCTTGATTTCTTGTGGTTTCCAGCTTAAATCCTCTCAACAAACATCTGAATCCAAAAACAGTCCCTCCTGGACTCCCAGCAGAAGCCTGAGTGCTTCACTCTAAAATGTGTCCCTTTTCTCCCTCTTTCTATCTTTGTAACCTGGCTGTCTGAGTGCTTGTACCAGGTTCTTGTCTGTCTGCGATCACAGGAACCTGCACAGGCAGACCTACACTAAAGTGCCCTTATGTAACATTCCTAGTTACGTATGAATTCCACTTTTGCTCACATACTATCTGCTTCCTCTGTAATTTGAGGAAGGGACCAGGGCGGGTCTTACAAGACCTCCACACACCACAGAGAGCCAAGCAATAATCACACATAAGTAGTACAAAAGAGAAGGATCAAAGCTCAGCAAATGCTTACGTTAACACGGTATTATTTCACTCATGCCACTTTTGCTACTTGCTCTTTTACCAAAGAAAATTGTTGAATATTTTTAATATTCATTACAAATAAAAAGCTTTTTTTTTTTGCGAGACACAGAAAATGTGTAGACACTGCTGCTGAAAGAGACCTTTGGACCCAAACATTTGAAGCCAAACCTGATAGCAGTAAAGGATGGCTTGATAATGGTCTGCTATTCTGAATACTCAGTTAAGCCAGAAGCTGTTTTGAATAACATTCCAGGATTTCCACACTCAATATCCTGCCAGAGGTAGAAACAATATTTTCACTGAAAATAAGCTCAGCCTGACAATGAAACATTTCACAACGGACAGACTCCTCTTTACAAGTCAAAAGACTGCATTTGAGTAACTGTCTTTTAAAGTTCAGAAACCCGTTTAAAGCAGCCACAAGGATAACAACTTCATTTTGAGACAAGTATTATATTTTAGATTTGATCCATGTAGAGGGAAGGTTTGCTAAAGCAGTCAGAGCTGAAACTAAACAGTAATGACTGAAGAAGCTAATTTTGTTTTAGTTTTGTTAAGAAAATGAGAGTGAGATAACATGAGGAAATAGGGAAACAAAAAGCTTTTCCTCACCGAATTTATGCTCCAAAACATACACAGACACATTGTGTTAGAGTTATAGTACAAAAGGCAGGTTTACAGCATCAGGTTTACAGTTTACCAGCGTTTATAGCAGCAGCCTCCAGTCGATTGATTGAGAATGGCGAATTATGTGCTTTTAGCACCTTATGTGAAGCAATAGCCACATATCTGAGAGTTACCAACACAAACAAATGGGGGAGGTGCCCCCATGTGACAAAAACACTGCAAAAGGGCCCTCTTGGATGCTCCTATGGTAGAAAAAAATAAAGTGCCCTCTTGGATGCTCCTATTGTAGAAAAAAATAAAGTGCCCTTTTGGATGCCCTTCCAGTAGACAAGCGGTGGTAAAGTGCTAATCAAAACAATGACTAAGCTGTTTCACTTTAAATGCATCACAACTTTCCTGTGATCTGGTGCCCTTTTTATGGCCCCTGTCCCTCAAGCAGCCTGAATCCACCACTGTAAATTTTTATATTGTTTATTTCATTTGTAACACATACATACTCTTTACTGAGACACATGTTTATTTGGTCAGACAGTCAAAGGGACATTGCAATAAATCTAAATATATCTATTCACACAAAATGATTTGGTTTCAGTGATTTAGGGATTTAAACAAACAGCACATTCTGTCCTCTTATGTTTGTTGACATTACTTTATCAAGATGAAGGTTATGTCAGTAAAGCATTGCTTGCTCTTGCAACACCTTGATTTAAATCTGTGTAAATATGTTCACATCTGAGAGCTCAGTTTTTTCTCTTGGCTAGTATGCAGCTCCACTGCAGTGGGAAGGCAGTCAAATGAGACCCATTAATAAAACAAGATGGAACCATTAAAGATTAAGACAGAGTGTAATAGTGAATGAACTTGAGGTCAGGGTTTGTTTCATTTTTTCCACAGTCAGAGCTGTAAAACAGTGAGGCGAGCACCTCACGTCTCCACCTCTAACACGTTGTTGGTCTGTTTTTGTTCTGGATTTTATAAATCAGTCAGAATGCAGATGTGATCCTCAGAGAGAAACTGGCTTGTAGAACTATAATAACAAGTGTCAAGGTACTATCTGTTATTTATTTACTGTAGGCATGCACTTAAACTCTTACAATTATTATGTTTTTCATGAATGTTTATTAAAACCAGTAAAGTATTTTTCATAACCTGGCCAATGGAGATACTGAAGGTTATTTTTCATCCACCAGGGGGCACTACTGGAGAGGGTTCCCTATGTACTCTATGTTTTAACTATATAAATGGTTGCACAAAGCTGTACAATAAACACACTAATTTGCTGTAATAATCAGGTGACAGGTAATTCATTTCATAAATGGCATTCAATGCTCCACCTGTTTGTTTCATACATTTATTTTAAGGAGAAGAAATTTTGATTAATTTTAGAAAACAATTTAGATTCTTGTTATTATAGCATATTGTATTTGTTATTTTTTCAATAGAAGTAGCTGAAGTAGTAATATTTTTATATTTTTTTTAGTATTTGCATGCTTTTAAAGAGGTAATCCACTTATATTACACATAAACGCCAGTTGACTCATTCTCGTTAGTTCTGTTAAACTCTATAATTTCTGTGGCTCTGCGGGAGCTTGAGTTAGGTTTGAGACTCCAGATATTTGGCTGGAAATCTGCATTAAAAGCTGGGAGAGTGGAGTTTGAAAGATAGGACATTTAACTGTCAGGGAAGGATAAGTAAAGTCAAAATGTTTAATTCATAATAGGGTAGTTTTAGCTTACTGTGACAGGATGTTTACCACTTTCTCTCTCTCTCTCGCCCTCTTTTTGCATAATAATTTATTTATCATGTCCATCCCTCTAAACCACGTTTCTTTAAAAACTGACCTGTTTGAGCAGAAATTCAATGAATAGCAACAAACAAAAGTAAGTAAGAGTACATATTTTACTTTTATCTTTCACTGAAGTCTAAAATTTTACTTTTAGCAGTTTAATAAATACGGGCCTGTTATCTAAAATTGACAAAGGTAATATAATTTTGATTGAAACAGGGCTCACCTCATAGATAAGAAAACCAAAGAATATGAATACAAGTATTTTGTTGTGTAGATCTCAAGGAACATTTTGTTCACCTCTGCTTGGCATTCACTGCAGTCTGCAGCCTTGCAGGGTGCTGCTAATCTCATCATGGCCACTGAGGCATACTAAGTATCTTGTGAGGAAAAACAGTCAAGAAATCAACTTATTTATCTTATCAGTGTCATGGATCTTAATGTTGCCTAATATTTTTTTTAAAAGACGTTGTACAAATAGTAATTATCTGTTTACTGGAGGTAAGATTACTCTCAGGAATGTGAAACATTGCCACCCACAGGGACCTGCCTCAGGCGGGGTCATACTCATACAATCAAAGTAGTTCACCAGGTGGTCTTTGGCATTGCGTGCCACGGACATACATGATCAGGTTGGAGAGATGAAGGCAGGATTTACACAAACAATGCAGAGACCATTTGTTGTTGGTGTTGTATTGTGAAACTTGATCGTTCTTAATTAAACCTAAGATGTACATTTGGGGAAATGGATATGTACATACTGAAAGGGTTGAAACGAACATCTGTTCACAAGGTTGAACACTGAGCACAAAGGGTCACTGCTTTTCCATCTCCATTTTCAAAATACACAGTCATTTTCGCAATTTGTGCCTGCTAACACCTCTGCAGAGTCCAGAAACAGAAAATAAGAAAAGTGAGTTTAACTTGTAGCAAAACAACTACACAACCTCTTAAACTGCTTTGACTCTTTTTAAGAAATTACTGCATTTGCATGCTAAACTCTGTAAGTCAGGCATTTTGGTGCCATGGGAAGATATTAGTTATTAGCTCACCCACTGCAGGAAAGGGATTTGTATGTTCTGAGACATCTTTTTAGAAGAAGCATGTGGGTTGAGAAGCACATTTAACATTTAATTTTAAACAAAAGGAGGACATGCTATGCATTTGAAGTTGATAATCTGCGGATGGGTGTAGAGGCTTGTTTGCAGACATTACCGTTATCCCATCTGTGTATGTCTTTATCTACGGTTCTTTGGGATAGAGCACGATGTGTCAGCCAAAGTTACTGGATTTTAAAAATATTTTTGAAATATTAAGAAATGTATCTGTATTGAATAGATTTTGCTAATGTTAACTTGCTAAGGTAAACAAAATATGCATATGACAACAAATAAGCTGTGCTAACTGACCTGTTGTTGTTTCTTTTTATTATATTATTTTATAGACTTTTAATTAATTATTTTCTTCAAGTTTCTCTTTCTCCTCTAGGGGACCAATAAAAAATGGTCTCGCCTTATTTAACATTTCTTCTCTTTAGTTTCCCTCTTCGTTGTGTTGTTGTGTTTAGTTGTTTATTTCACTCTTGTATTTGTTGTTATATTGTGCTATTCAGCGCTGATTACATAAATTAAAGAAGTTGGAAAAAAGCTCTTCCCGCTCTTTTACATGTCTTACGGTATCTTAGAAACGGAAGTGGCAGTGACACAACTTCCTTGGCAACAAGAAGCTTGCTACCCAGTGGATTTATGTTAGCACGTTTGGCTAAATGCGTCCATTAAAAACGTTTTCTGAATTACGTACTTCATTTTAACGTTGTTTTATTTTACTGTTGTATTCAATAATTGAGATAATTGCTGCTAAATGTGAAGTTAACATTAGCGAGCTGACTCTACGGTAGCTCGTTGGGCCATTAACACTTCGCACCGTTTACCGCACCATGTCTCTGGCGACATGAATCTCCCGCGGTGGTGTCGTGCCGTTCAGATACTTCTCGTCTTGTGTGGACGTTTAGTTCACGCAGTCACAGAATCGGGGGTCACTTCAAGCGTTAATGTCAGCCCCACAGATGTGGAGTCTCTGAGCTCAGTGACCCCGGCTCCGGGCGGTACACAGGCCGTGGACCCCCCCAGTGTCGGCACCACTACGGCGGCCACCGAGGGCTCCACCGTGGGCTCCACCGAGGGCTCCACCGTGGGCTCCTTCCACCGAGGGGCTTTCCACCTTGGGCTCGACGTGGGCTCACCGAGGGCTCCACCGTGGGCTCCACCACCGCCCAGCCTGTGCTCACTTCAGAGGGTAACTAACACCTGCCTCCTGGGATGTGTCATGTTATTGGAAATGGCCCCATGAACTGAAACTCTCAGCCTCCTTTGTTTCCACTCTGCTGCAGTCTTTTGTTTGTCAGGCCAAAGTAACCCTTTTAAAATCAAGTCATTAATTCGATTTTTTTTTTTATTATTTGAGCTGCTTCTGGTTTGAAATCACTGTGATACACTCATGTGATCAGACTGTCTCCCACTGTTAATGCAAGAGAGAACTTCTGCAGATCTATGGCTGCCAAACAAACCCTATCACCTGTTCTTAGATGCACTTAATGCTTAATAATGCAAAACATTGTGCTTTTTAGTAATTTGTCTATAAAACAATCTTGTATTGCTCAGGCTTTAAGAAGTCAGCCTTTGACAGTTGACTACTGAACTTATGAGAGTATTAATGATAAGATTTCAGAGCTTCATTTGCACTGAAAAGGTTAACCATGAAATCTAATGTGAATTAAAAACATATTTAAATTGATGTAAATATATATAAAGTCCACAAATGCACCTATACAATCCCAACTCAACATTCTGGCTATTAGTTAGATCTAGGTTGTTTCCAATAAGATCAATGGTCACAAGTGTTTCTACAATCTCAATAAAACAACTTAAGTTTTCAGATCATTTGACCGACGGTGTATCCACTATTATGTGCTTTTGTTAAACCAGTGAACCTTTTGTTGTCCTGTCTTCTCTGTTGTTATCCAGGTTGTCTCTGTGATTTAACCCCTGATTTCTGTGACATCGGCTGCTGTTGTGACACAGTTGATTGCGGCATTGCGAACTTGAGCACCATCTTCACGGGATGTCCACAGAAAGCCATGTAAGTCTTCTGCACATGTTCTAAAGATATAGCACATTTTTTTAGCATTTAAAAGAGTTTAAACTCTTATTTTACAGATCGGGAGTTTGCATTGAGAAATGGTTGATGTTCAGGGCTAACGTGGATTCCTCTCTTGTCACTGTGACTGACTCCTTGTTTTGTGTCCGGCCTAAAGGTACTCAGACTAATAACAATATATTCATTTAAAAACACTACATAATTCATCTTTAAATTAATTAACAATCAGTGCCTCAACAGGGGAGTCACTCATTTCACAAGACCAGTATATAAGTGTCCTCCACTAATGCATCTTTTAAAACCCTCTCCCAACAGATAATGCCCCCCCGTCCCTCCCAGCTCTACCTCAGCATCCAGCTTTAGGGGATTCGTACCACTTCTCACCACCAGCACCTACAACCAGCACCCACAGCAGAGATTTCTACCGGGTAAAGAGATATAGTGCTATTAGGGTGCTAGACATTGCTAAAAGTGTATCTTTAATACATGCAGTGTGTATAACACTCTTTATTTTTGTAGGCTGATGATGTCATCCAGACGTATTTCTCCAGCTCGTCTGCGCGGGGTCTCCTTCGTCAGCCTTCTCCAGGGGCTGCAGCTACATTCTGTGTCAACCGCAACCCTGCAAGTAAGTCCATACCAAATGGATAAACAGTCTTTACGTTGCTTTATGTATTTTTTTTTAACTACCTTATGTTCTCCTTTGCTTGCAGAGTTCTTGAGGTCTGTGTCTCTGTCTTGTTCCCGCGCGTTAACTCCTCAGTCATGCACCACAGACCCAAATCTCAACGCCCGCTCCTACTTCTCTGACTTGAGTCTGATCAAGGTCGGTGAATCTGCCTGCACTAAATGCTTTTATGTAGCTGATTACAGGTTAGGATCTCACTGCGGATCAGCTAACATTAATATTTTCATTATAGATTCCAACAGTCCAGACGGCACAAGTGTCAGACCTTCTGGTAAGTCACTGACTGTACATATAACCCAAAGCCATACATGGCATTAGCAGAAACACGGCCATTTTGCACTTCACATGCCTCATACAGTTTTCTCCTGTATGTCACAAGGCAAAAGTCTTGAAACATCCCTTATACCTTTTCTACAGTATGAAGAACTGTATCTGTAGCATTTAAAAATGTACTAGGTGTTGACAGTCCAGTCTGTGCATTAAGAAATAAATCCTTTATACCAACATTTAATGACACTTAAAGACGTGTTTTTTCTTCCAAAGTAAGGAACTGTACCAACTCTTGTTTCAGATCCCTGTTACTCCGCTGTTCGACTGGCCTGCGCCGAGCGAACAAAACAACTCCTGTGTCAATGTGGTGAAAAAAGTAAGCAGATGAAAATGGGTCTTTTTCTTTCTTTTCTTTTCCTCCCACCATTGTTTCCTAAATCCCAAATTCAACAAATTCAACAAACTCAACCCTCCTTTCTCCGATTCTCCTGCAGGTTCAGTTTGTCATAGGGTACACAGCCCGAGGGGAGCTCACATATGCAACAGTGAACGTAGTCTTAGCTGATGTGGATCCAAATCAGTTGCTGCTGCAGACGCACTCTGTACAGTTCCAGGTAGCGTGTTGAAGCCACAGATTTCATCACTTAATGAGCTACAGATTCAAACACTAAGATTAATATAATTTCTCTTTTCCAGCTGGCAACACCCAGCAGCACTGCAGGAGGACCGGTCCCTGCTCTCGGACTTAGAGCGGGATCCCCTGTCATTGGTCGCTTTGATGGAGAAGTGCAGCCTGTATCCTCACAAACAGCATCATAAACTTCTCTTTAAGTCACATTGTCATTTAAGCAGCTAGCTTTGAGTCAATCGTACTTCATGGTTCCTTGACAGTGAGTTAGCTGAGCACACTGGGGGTGTCACAGAGCGGGGAGTGTTCCTCTGACCCCAGCAGACGAGCGCCCATCCTCTTCACACACAACACTATCACTGGTTGCACATTCAGGTGAGTCTCTATCTCTAGTTTTAACTGATGTTCCTTACATGAAGAGTAGTGACGAAACATGTCATTTCACTCTCTCTCTCGGTGTGCTCTTTAGTTCCTCATCTAGTGACTGTTCAGAGCTGCGTTCCCAGGTTTACGGGATCTTGCAGGGACTTGCTACTCCTGATGTGATCGCCATGAATTCGGGCTCCCAACCTGACTGGACGAGAGTCATCACCCAGGAGTGTCCCGTCAGCCTGCAGGTACAGCTGAATCAGGAAGTTAAAGTATTTAAGCAAGAAAGTTTAAGAACTTTGAATTATCTGAAACTTAACATTATGGCCAACTGACCGAATAGGCTTACTGCCAGCACTCGGAGGGTTACTTTAAAAATGTAATCAGATACAATTACTAATTACCTGTTAGCAAATGTAGTCAGTAACCTAATCTGAGTATCAGAATATAAATGTAACGTGACTTGATTACTGTTTGTTACATTTGGATTACCTCAATACTAAAGATGTAAAAGAAAAACAAGTGAAAATAAATATCAATAAGTAGTATTGATTCAAGCATATTCTATAGAACAACAGAACAATGTAACCTTGGGAAAGAAAATAGAAAACAGATCTTTCGCATCAGAAATATGTCTGCTGAGTGTATTTTCAAAGAAAACTTAAAATATTTTAAATTTGTAATTCTGCTAAATAATCCCAATTTTTACTAAATGTAACTGTAATCTTTTTTTGTATCCTTATTACTTAACACAGTTACATGTAATCTGTTATTCCCTAAACCCGATTACAGCAGGATATAAAGATTATTAGACCTGAATGAGGAGTTCTTCACAGCTCTGTTTGACTCTGCTATCTTACATGTAGTTGTATTAAAATGTCCAGTCCTATAACCTATGTTGCTCCTATTAACAGTAATTTATTCTGTTTCCTTTCTCAGGAAACATGTGAATCAGGATGCGTCCTCCCCAACTCTCTCTCTATCCGAGTGCTGTGGGCCCGCCAGGGTCTCTTAGACCATCCCCAGAACTACATTCTTGGAGCCAAATACCTTTTCCAGTGTCAAAATGTCAAGGTAGGCACATGCACTCTCTCGTTGTGAGGCCAGCACCTTCTTTTCTGCACTGTTTCTCCTCTATGGAAATGTCCAAATACTCTCATCCCTTCTTTATTTCAGTGTCCTATATCGTCCCCTATTGCTCTAACCACTGAAGTGACGTTTGTCGACACTACGGTTTACCCAGAACCGCCCAGGGGCTTACCTCAGCCGAACTGGAAGTTTCCATTTGGTTTCTTCACTAGAGGCACTGCTGAGCTGGACGGGCATGTTGTCATTAACGCCAGTGGCACTGAGAAGGTCACATGGAGTTTAATGCTGTTCACAGTAATGTTACTAACAGGATTAGAATTCTTCACTAGCTAGTTGGATCGCTATCAGGGAAGTTTCGAGGGCTCCTTATCTTGAGGAAATAGCTGAAAGAATTTGTACTACATACTTTTATTTTGTTAAGCAGTTTTTGTACAACATAAAGAGTTATATTCTTAAAATGGTAAAACACTTTAATTTATTCTTTTGTGCGTTTTCAGGAATAAATACATTTTTACAAGACCTTTCATATGTCATCATTTCACTGAGGTAAAGATGCGCTACTTGCACACAGCTCCTCTTTTCTCTCCTCCTTTTGGTCTGGTTGGTTTCTGTGCCTTTGTCTCTCCTTTTGTCCTATGTAGCGCACATAGTGGAGGAGATGGACGATTGCAGCTGGAGTGATACCTTGCAAACGTGTAGCAGCACCCAGCTGGAGGATAAAACATGGCATTAGTTGCATATTCATTAGTTTTTTTAATGTAACAGCACATTATTAGGTAAAAAAGAACAAAAAGTTATTGGTAAGCAATACATAGACTATACTCTGAATGTGCAGACTCACAGTGCTGGGCCGAACTCTGTCCAAAATCTCTCTGACTTCGTTCGACAGTGACACCGGCAAAGATATATAGTCTATGTCCTGTGGGAGAGACATATTCTCCTCTTTCTGAATTCTCTCCATCTCCTTCCTCTGTAGGTCGCAGTGAGGCTTGTACACAGCTAAATAACAGGAGAAATGTTTTATTGAGGGAGAATTAACTATGTTATAGTAGCTTAAAGGACCAAAGCAACATTTAGAGGCAATTCAGAAACATAACTGAGCCAACAATTATAATTACCCTCTATTTTAAGTCTTTGTGAGAACTCCATGTAAGGTGAAAGGCACTCTGGGAAGGCGGACGCCAACATTTCAAAGGACACATCATTGTACTGCAGCACAGCCATACCACTGGAGAAAGAAGGCACAAAGTAACAGTCGGGACCCCGAATCGACCACAGAGGTACTTCTGACTGTCATGATATACTAGTCACTCACTTCACTAGGGTGTTCTTGGCCTCACACATACGGATGTCGGGCAGCTTTTTTTTCCAGTTGGGGGAGGACAGAACGAGAGACTGAAGGGCCGCCAGTGCTTCATGCAGACCGTCCCTCACTCTCACAGCCTCCTGGTAGCGTAAGGAGGACACACATCCCACCTCCTCAAATCCTGACAGAGGAAATAGTTTATGAAAGGATAAAAACTAAAAGACAGAAAGCAGAACAACAACTTGTGGGCTGTATAAGTTAATCAAAAGAGGAATAAGTGGAAGTGCAAGTGTACTCTAGATGAAATGCACACAATAGGGCCAAGCAATGTCAAAATCTCATGATACACAGTATTTAACGGAATACCTTGATATTAATGTAATGTGCTGGTATTTTAAGGAATTACTCGAGATATTTTACACACAGTGTGTTTATTTTTTAAACCTCAATAGTAATGCATATGAATACACAACAATCAAAGTAGAAATAGAGGTCATGTTTTTTTCTTGCTCAGTTAGGACAATAGGCTCTAAAAATGTGTGATTGTAAAAGACAAAGTACTGGGCGCTGCCTACCTTTCAGAGTGAGGCGGAGGTCAGCGTTGTCCGGCCTTAGAGAGGTTCGAAACTCAGCCCGGCTGGTGAACATGCGGTAGGGCTCTGTAACGCCTCGACTCACCAGATCATCGATGAGAACTCCAATGTAACTCTCAGTCCGAGACAATGTCACTGCAGGCATGGAGAGTGCCCAGCGGGCGGCGTTCACCCCCGCCCACAGGCCCTGCACACAAGTGGTTTCCTCAGTTTTAAATAGTTCCTCTTTTTACAGATTATTCTGGTTCAGTGTAACTCATAGACAGTGTCAGAAAGCTATGATACCCATGGTGCAGTTCTACACCTTACATTTAATGTAATGTAATGACTGCCATTCAATTAAAATGTAAATATAAATCACAATGTTAAACAAGCTGTTTGTATAATTGCAGGGGGAAATAATAACATTTATTAATTCTATAATAACTATTGATATGATCAGATCTCACTTTTCTTGGGCCAAGAACATAACTGCTAGACAATAATCGCTGCCACTACAAATAATGAAAGAAAAACAATGAATTGGCATTACAGAAAATACCCTGCCCTAGCCTGATAATCATATTGAATTCTGTCCACCCAGCAGAAATACCCACAACACCCTGAACAAATCATACAAGTTGGCAGAAGTGTGTGACCAGTCTGACTATAGGCCTGTATGGGTATATTTCTATTAGTGTGTATGTATGTGGAAGGACAATCACTTAAGTTGTTTTTTTTGTTTGTTTTATGACCGACAGTAATGGCTAAATATAGTGTACAGAAAGTAAGCAGCTACCTGTGCAGCAGCCTCCTCGTACCCCGTTGTTCCGTTGATCTGACCGGCCAGAAAAAGACCTTGGGTGCTTTTCACCTGCAACGCAGGGCTCAGCTGAGTGGGACACACAAAATCATACTGCACACCATAACCTGGGAAAAGAAACAAAAATAACACACATTCATTCACTGTTCCATCCAGATCCATCAACTGCAGGCAATCAAACAGGATTCAGGCCGTGTACCAGGTGTGTGAATCTCCGCTCTGTGCATGGCGGGGATTTCTCTGATGAGGCGGAGCTGGATGTCAGGAGGCATGGTCATGGACAGACCCTGAGGGTACAAAAGGTCAGAGGTCACTCCCTCAGGCTCCAGCCACACCTGGTGCTTTCGGCCTGGGAAGCGAAGCACTCGAGACTCGATGGAGGGGCAGTACCTGTGAGAGACAAGGACTAGAGTTAGTACTTTGGAGTTTCAGAACACACTGTGTTTACATTGTGAGTGTGTGTTTGGGTGTGTGTGTACCTGGGACCCTTGGTGTCTTGCTGTATGTGACAGTTGAGATGAAGACTCTCCTGCACCACTCTCTCTACACCGGGGGTAGTATAGGTCAGGTAGCAAGGCAGCTGCTCCTCAGGCTTAAGAAGTGTTTAGTTTCAAAATAAAGCATTCATTAATTAGAAAAAAAACACTGACTGACAATTTGAGTGAGCACTTTTAGGATCTCCCACACTATGAACTAGGGCTGCACGATATGGTAAATAAATAATGTTGTGATTATACAGACAGATATTATAATTAAGATACAATTATATATATTCATATAAACTACTGAAATCATGATGATGTGACATTTGTTGGGGTCCATATCAAACAAACACATCTGGAGAACCACATTTAGAACTACTCGGATTACTGTACAGAAACTTTACCTTGCAGCGTGTGTGTGTATTGAGGAAGCTAAAGGGAGTTGGATGACTGTCAGGAAGGTGAATGTGAGCCTGGGCAAGGTCTACTGAATCCTTCACAATCCTGGGAGGGGTACCAGTCCTCAGCCTGCCTATCCTCAGCCCCAGCCTCTCCTTCATCGTCTGGGACAGCCCAGCACTCGACGGGGCATCTCCAATCCGACCCCCGGGTGACATGGTTTGGCCCATGAAGAGGGAGCCAGTCAAGAAAGTACCAGTAGTAAGAACCACGGAGCTGGCTGAGATTGGGTGGCTTCCATTTGCTTAGAAGAAGTACAAAATCATAAAATGATTAAGATTTTTTTTGTAATTACCAACTTAAATTTGCAATAATGGAAGTTCATTTTACTGGTTGGCACATTTGTTAGAGATTGATATTAGATGTCAAAAATCTGTCTGATATTTAGGACACATTTGAATCTACTGACCACCTTGATTTTGCATTCAGTATACAGTATGAACCATAGTCAGCCATTCAGGCTGCACAGACACCAAATTAATTTTTTAATAAAGTAATAATTGAATTCAAGTTGGTTCTCTACTAAACTGACTAATAAACAAGTAAAGACAAACCAGCCATTTAAACCCTCATCATAAACATTGGCAAATAGCTTTTAATTGTTCCTGACCTAAACGTATCCCAGTGACCTTGTGGTGTCCAGGCTCCTCTGGGTTTGGTTCTGTGACCAGCAGGTCCTCCACAGAGCCCTCCACAACAGTCAGCCTGGGAGTGGACAGCAGCTCAGACTGAATGAGCAACAGCAGGCAGAACACATAGTTAGTGACATTTTTTGTCATTTTTATTCATTCGCAGATAGAAATTCTGTTATATTAAAAGGACCAGTGTGTAGAATTTAGTGGCATCTAGTGGTGACGTTGCAGATTGC